AAACGTAAAATGTAAACTCGGTTCATTTTCTTTTTTCTTTTTTTATCTTTCCGTTGGAGAAAGGGAGAAGAGAAAGGGATCCCGTCCGCGAGAGGGTAAAACTCTTTTCATAAGCAACGAGAATTTCGTTTTCTCGAGGTTGAGGAAGAAGAAGAAGAAAAAAAGCGGGGACGACAAAGGCAGTCGGACAAAGCGGATTCCGTGTCACGCGAGCGGTCGTTACCTTGCTGCTGTTGGCAACTCGCGCAGGCCGCGTCACGCTCGTTCGTGCGGACCGTTCGTGCACGTTAAACGCGGAGCCTAGAACGCACGGACGACGAGAGAGACGGGTATGGAATTCCGTGCTACAATTTATGCTGATTTATATGCACCTGACGGTCCAAACCGTACCTCTTTCTCCTCCTCCTCCTCCTTCTCCTCCTCCTCCTCTTCTTCTCTTCTTCTTCTTCTTCTTCCCTCGTTTCGTCCAATCCGATCCCCATTTTTTCTCTTTTACGCGTCCTCTTTTTGCCAGCAATTCGATATCGAGTTTCGAAAGTTTAGAATCGCTCGCAGCGATGGAAATGAGAATGGAATAATTCCTTCCGTGTGAACTCCGCTTGCTTCCTGTTCGTCACCTTTCCTCTTAAAAAACGAAACGACCAATTTGATTCCGTGCGTATATCGAAGAAGAATTATTCGCCGAGGATCAACTCGATAAATGTTCGATCGAGAGTATATTTTTATCGGCGTCTCTATTTATTCGCGTCATCTTGTCCCTTAATCCGGTTGTTGTCTCAGCCTCTCGACAAACTCGGCCAGGTTATCTACGTCGCCACGACTCCGCGCTGATTCATAGCGGCGACTGTCGGGGCGAGCAACAAAGGGTGAGCTTCCTTCCGTGAATGCTAATCGTTGCGGCACGCCGGATTAAAGCGGCTTCCCAAGTCGATCCCAGATGTCTTTTCACCGACATGCTCTGACAGGGAGGAGGGATGAGAGGAGGAAGGCTGAAAATTCGCCTTTTTGCTCGCGTAAGAGAGGGCGCTAAGGTTTCTAATCAAAGCTCGCGGTATCCAAGGGGGCGAACCATGGATTCCCTTACCCTCGAAGCAATAGTCCCCATTGTCCATCGGGAACAAAGGTCGCGAAATTGTGAGGCTGTGACGATGTATGGTATCGCGGTGGTATTGTATTCGACAAATTAGCGAAGTAAAGCCCCTGTAATACAACGCGATCATCGACGTGTTTGGCGCCCAACTTCGTTATACGATTCGGCGAATTGGAATTCGGGAAACTAACTAACTAATGCATCCAAGGTTCGAATGCCAGGTTTACCGATGCGACGAGCTTAACTTTCCGCGTTGAACCTAGATTTCGAATTATCGGCCGATGATTATGGGATTCGATTCGAAAGGGAAATTTCTTTTTTTCTTTTTTTTTTTTTTCGTATCGATCATCGCCGCGATCGAAAAAGAGGAGAAAGGAATTTTCGTATTTCGTATACAAATACTGTCGTCAATATGCGCAGCCATTTTGAATCTCGTTGCATTTTTTATCTTTTGCGCTTATCGAAAATCAATATACGTACCGAGGAATCATTTCGACTTTCGCCACCGTTACATTCCATCGACGAATTGTTATATAAAACAAACGAGAAAAAGAGGAAAAAAGGATGAAAGGAAATCCATACATTCGAAGTCGACGTGGCGTGGAGTTAAAAGGAGTGGCGAATTATTCCCACACGGTGAATGGACGCGCGCCAGTAAGATTCGAGGCGACCGATAAACGATAAAAGAACATCGGCGGCGCTTTATCGGTGAGCGTGGCTGATCTAGTTTACAACGCGTTAACGACGAGGCCACGTCTCCATTAATTATCCGTTTTCAACGAGGGAGCAACGCGTCGAGCTGCGTGTCTCGAACAATTAAGACGCGCGACTCCTCTCCTCTGCTCGCGTTGAAACCAGCACGAAAACTCGACGGAATAATTTCGCAACTTCCGACGCGCGTTATACACCCGACAAGCTGCACTCTTCCTGCCTCCTCTGTTCGCCCCTCGCGGTAATAAATCAGCTTTCCTCCGCGCGGCGCAAACTTCTTTATCCCCGGCTTTTCTCCCATGCTTCGGCCCGAACACGTGCACGATGGAAACACCCTGGCCTTTCTTTCCTCCTTGTCAACCCTCCTTGCCTTGCTCCAAACACCATCTACGTATTTACTACGTTGCCCTACAAGTAGCTTCTTCAAAAAGTAGCGTAATTCGGTTGAAGAACTTTGTTTGGGGAAAACGTGGCCTGGCCTCGTTCGTTCGCGTGCCAAGAGACGCGCGAGTAGATTCGTCGTTTGACGCATCGAAACGCGAGCAAAATGAGAAACTAACGTTCGGATTCGTTGAATCGTTTCCCACGTTTGTAATTCAATTTCTCGTTATACGCTTACGCTTGGAGAGCGTAAATTTTGTCGTTGCTCTTCGATCGAAAGGTGTAAGAAAAACGAGAGATCTTCAAACGATCTGCACTCTGGTTCAACTTCTCTTGCTATTAATAAAACGTGTGCTTGTAACCCGTCCAAGGGTCCTTGGTCTTCGATACATCGATCGAAATAGAGAAATATAGGAGAAAAATGAAGGAATCAGAATTCGAACCCTTTGAACGATCCGTGCCACAGTTCTCTTATTATCAATAAGATCCTTCCTTGGCGTAGATTCGTCCTTATTCTTCGATCGAAATTGGGAAGTGCAGGAGAATGGAGAAGAAAGACCAGAAGAATTCGAACGAATTCAAACCGTGGCATACTTTTCAATTTCTACTTACTTCTATTAATCTAAATATGCATGCTCGTAACTTTACCAGAAACTTTTTTACCAGAAATCGAGGAGGAGAAGATAAAGAACGGAAGCGAAATGGATTCGAGCCCGTTAAACTACGCCGTAGTCACCTCTTCCATTTCTTTATTCTCCTTTATTCCCTTTATTATACGATATACACGGGACTCTTCGAGGCGTAGATTTGCGTCGTTGCCCTGCGACACATCGATCCAACTAGAAACTCGTACGAGTAAATCTACACCCCGTGCCATCTTTTCCCCGCGCTATCTTTTCTTCGCCGTCTCTTATCTTGTTTAGCTCCTATTAAATGACCGTGATGGATGTTTGCTCGCGCGACGAAGAGTGGAACGGAGAGAGAGAGAGAGAGAGAGAGAGAGAGAGAGAGGAGGAGGGAGGAGGAGGA